GAGCTAGCTGCAAGCCAAAACTGTAGACAACAATTTATGTCAATGTTCACGTTTTGAATCAGGGTCATGAGAAAAACAGTAAGAACGTTTAACCTTGAGAAAATCACAGCGGAGTTAACATGTGGAATTATGATTCGCAGATATATAGCCTGATTTTCTGAGAAACGGCCACAAAGAGATAACAGAATAACTTTCAGCAAGAAAACAACCAATCAGAAGGGATTGCTTATCCGCTAACAATAATATACATAAAAATCTATAAATACCTCTTGATTTTCTAAATAAACAATCTGCTACCTGGCTCTTATCTTCTGTCGTTACAATTTTACTCTTATCAACAGGTTAGGCAAGAATCTTCTGAAAAGTATGTCAATGAAACCACTTCAGACTATGGCAGTTAGCATCCAAAACCCTGAACACTGCCTGCAGATGAGATTTATACTTAAGTCAACCAGTGAAACATTTTATTGTTGAAGTTTCTCTGTTTAACTGTGTCGCTACCTTATAATTCAAAATTTTTTTTGGTGAACTCTACTCAAAACTTTTAACCAGATAGCATCATCAAACTTGGTTATTTAACCAAACTTTGGCCATGTGATCACATCTCATTGCCCCGACCTTTAATCAAAACGGAATTTCGATGTTAAATCTTAACATTTTTTAATGCAAATTGGCCTGAGAATGATTCCATGAGTCACTTTTCGCTGACTATCTTTTATTTGATTAAATAGTCAGAATGTTTGATCAAGTTAAAACAGTTTTCAAAATCATCATAACACCAACATCAGGATCCCGGTAAATTGATATGCAAAACACAAAAAGTCGGGAGCTGACTGTGGAGGTGCTTAACAGTTGTACCATAAGCATAATTATTACGACAAATAACAATAGACTTCAGCTACGACGCTGTCGTACAGATAATTGCCCAGTTAATTATTAAAAATGGCAGAGTAGGGTAGGTAGTAGACGAATAGTTCTAAGACATGTACAACTAGGACTAGGATCTCATTCCACAAGTTCGAGAACTAATGAGAAGATCAAGAAAGCCAAGCAATAGATCAATAACCTCAAAAATAACCACTCATAACAATGTTTAGGATATTTAGATACTGGGTTTTTGTAGGGGCTAAATTATTTTTAATTTAAAGTGCATCACCAGCCAACATCGATTAGAGATCACTAAAAACTGGGGAGTTCTGGACAGCTGTTTCATCCCAGTCTGGAGCTCTTCATCAGTGCACGTCCGCGACCTCACCAGGCATCGAACCTGGGGCCTTTGGATTGTGAAACCAAACTAGTTGACAATTCATCCATCTAGTCCAGAATGCAGTGATGTCAGTGATGTTAGTGGTTAAGTCGTATCGTGAAAAATTTCATAAAACTGACATAATCAAGACGACTCAAAAACTCGTGTAATTTCCAAGTTCGTAGACAGTGAGTGAATATTTAATTAACTGTGGAACGCTGCAGTTATGTGAAGTAAATATTCATTTAGAATTGGCGGGATACGTAATTCGTGTTCCACTGGATTCCAGTGTAGGGTCTAAATACCCAACGGGCACTGGGTCATTGATCAGTACTGCTAAACCTTCCCGAACTAGTATGAAGCAGCTGTCCAGTACCCTTCGATTTACAGTATTTCTCCAACTTACATGAAATCCTTGCAAGCCAATACCTGAAAAATGGAAATACGTTATCCACGTACCTGCATATATATATGTTGAAAGAAAACACTTCAACTCACCCAACATTTCCCCTGAATGCAAATATCATCTCTTTGAGAATAACATGGGGTACCATCTGGTAAAGTAAAACTATGCGGAACAGAATGTGAGTTGTACAGACAGATTAGATTGCATGATGTAGGTTCACCGACTGTATTGGAGAAAATGAAGAAAAGTAGACGTGACATTTTCAGTTAGATAATTCATAGATACTCTAATGATACTATTACCTTTTTATTGGTAGCTCAATGAATATAGCACAAATGAGCTAAATAAAAACTGTACTCTCATGTTAAAAAGGTCATTTTACTCGCATGTTTTGAATTGAGCGAAATGCATTACCTAGGATGTATAAATTTAACTGTTGAGAAGCAGAGATAACTGGCGGTCTGCTTAAAAAAACTGTGCTACCTGAATTCCCAACGAACAGAAAGCATAAAATTTTTTTTCTTATTGTCATAACCATTTGATTATGTTCGTGGATTGCAAAATGTACTCAAGCACACTTTTAATTGGCTTTCATTTTTTGGAGGCAAAAGAAGGATGTCGTAAGAAATTAGCTTTTTCTTCAGATAGAACAACGGTGTGTCACATGATATTGCTATAAATTCCTATTCGACTTAGAAATCCTAGATGAAGAGAAAATATTACGCAATATTATGCTCATCAACTAGGCGACGGTCTGCTTAAACCACTGGGCTACCAGAATTTTCATCGATCAAAATGCTCAAACTATTCTGCATTTCTTATTGTTTTAGTCTTGCGATTATATTAAATAATCAATACATTAAACTCGCGCGCATATTTAATCAGCTCTCAATTAGACACTGTGCAATTCTTGAAAGAAGTAAATAAAAATCTTGCAGAATTGGTTGTCTCTACATATGCAACAACTCTACATCAATGGATATGCTTTAGATTATCACTTTGCATAAGAATCGCGTACGAAGAGGAAATATTTTGGAATTAAATACGCTGAAAACTTCTGTAATATTTGTTGACACATTGTCTGAAAAAAACGCTTTATTATTATTAGAATAAATTGTTCTAGGAACTCTATACTTTTTGTCTGGGATACAGCTGTCAGTGCTATTGTAACAACATCCTGCTGGAAAACATCATCGATTTGCGTGAACAGTCTAGCTGTTTACTCAGTGCTGTCACCAGACTACTTAAGTAGATGGTTTTATTGACGTTAAAACATTTTGACAGAGATTGTCAAGGAAACATTTGCTTCTATGTTATATCGTAACATGTGTTTCAAAGTTCTGGCTACAGAGCTCACTGACTTGCGTTTGCTGCTACAATCTGAACTCTCTCACAACAGTGTGGTCGTTTGTCGTTGATATGACGGTTCAGAATTTAAGCTAGATATTCGGGAATAAATATACTTAGGAGAGAGATTATATATTACTTTTTAATGGAAGTTGATTTGTTTTGATGTGTTTCCTTTAGCTTGCCATTCAGTTTGAGGAGTCTTGCCTTATTTGATTGTTTTGTTGTTTACGCGGTTTATTCTCATCTTCTTTAACATGTGTATATGTTATAATAAAGGTTTTTGTATTTCTCAATGAATGAAAAACAAAACGATATTGTTTTTACTCACGTTCCGCTATTTAATGCTAATAGCTTTATCAAAGTATTATTAAACCGGAATTTACAAATCTCAGCATATATATATACATATATATCATATAACATATATAGCATATATATATATATAGCATATAACAAACCCCCTAACTGTTTCTGACATTTTCCTGTATGATTTCAATATTTTCGAAATCAGTTTTGTGGCCTGACGCTATCGCGTGTAGACCACCACCTATGACTGATGATTTTTCAAGCTTTTCTAGTTCAACTGGATTTCTCAGTGGTCAAACAGAGGCGACTCTAAGGTGTTCATTCCTTCTGATTACCTTGATTTCCCTCTGGAGATGTTTGTCCGATGTATATCGCATCACATTCCAAGCATTTTATTTTATAGACACAATTAAATTGTGCATCCTTAGGGATTTGGTCTTTTACATGGACAAGGTTGTTTCTCAGTGTGTCTGACGTTGTGAAGAAAACTCTGACATCGAGCTTATTGAGTACTCTTCTGATATCGTCTGGTGTCTCCGCTCTATATGGAATGACAACTGTTGGCGTCCATGTTTCCAGAATACGTTTTCAACCATATGTAATGTCAGTGATGATTTTGCTGATGAAGTTCTTTGGGTAGTTATTTTGCTTGAGAGTCTCAGTAATGTTTGATATTTCTTCTTTTTCTTTTCTTTATATTGCGTTTTCCATTCATTGGGAAATACAAAAAAGCCTTTATTGTAATGAATATTCCACTAAAGTTGCGTGTATAGTCAATAAAACTGAAAGTAGAATCTTCAATCTTCCTGGTAACAGTTCGTTGTTAAATCCATCGGAAAGAACTACCTCTTAATGCTAAATTTTACTCCCGCCTACCTTCCCATTTACTGATGAATTTCTCGAATTCAATGCGAAAACAGACTATAAATGATCCAAAACAGACGCATGCATATCTACACCCTCTTCATATTCACAATTTGCATAAAGACTTATGAAGAAGTAGGTAAGAGTGGATAGAAATTACTTTTCTAAGTGTCCAGTATCTAGTGGTCAGCAGACTGCATATTTAACAAAAAAGATGTTTATATAAGTGTTAAGGACAATTAAATCCCGTTAGAAAATTTGTTCTATTAAACTCGACTTGCTTCATTTAACTAAACTTATGTTCATTTAGTAGGCAAGATACAAACGCAAATGCGAACAGTCTCACTGAAATGATAGCATATTTAGCTCTGTTATTACGTCACTAATATTTTTGTAGATGTGGGTCTTGTTTAGGCATATTGTCATGTCTAGGGTAAGTGTGTGTATGTTTGCGTGTGGGTTACTTTAGAGCTTCGTCAATGCGCTTTGATTTCCACAATGGTGTGTGAACACATACATTTATATTACTTTAAGTGGTATTATAAATGCTAGAAATTCAATTCAAAAATTACGTCACCGATTCCCCTACAAAGTAGGAAAGAAATCTCCTGTAACTGTTAACAAAAAGCCTCTCTATAAATACGGATAGAATTTAGAGGTGATATACCAAATGAAATAATAAGCAACAAGCTGAGAAAAGTGATTTAAAGAACGTCTATTTGCAAAGCTTTCATTGACCTCTACCAGGCAACATCTTCAGCGCATACTTCAATTTGAAGAGAGCTTTTAGATTTCTCCACGAGTTTATCAGTCATCTCTCCTGGTGGGTGATCTTGAACATCGTGATTAGTTGCTTTTGTGTGTTTTCACATCCTCTAGTCTACTTGTATTGGAACTAACTGTTCTTGACTTGAACTTTGACCCTTTGTGTGTGAGATTTCCTTCTTATCGATTGGTAAATTTTGTCTATGTCGATGTGTCTATTGATTGATGATTCACTGGAATACCAGGCTTCTAAAAATTCTCTAGTATTCTTGGTGTTTCCTCTGTCTAATATTTGAACGCTGGTTATCCCAGTCGAATTGTTGTGGTGGTTGGCTGTGAGCAGTGAGGCGATATGAAGGAGTGGATGTCAAGTCTTTTGACGGCTAGTTTATGTTCATCCATACGAAGACGAAGGGGACGTCCACTTTGGCCAATGTAGTGTTTTTCTCAGTTGTCACAATTTATTTTGTAAATGATGTTGGTTTTATCTTCTTTCGTTGTTGAGTCTTTTGGTTGACACAGACCCAGCTGAATGAAGTGATTTTGTTGGTTTGTGTGTGACGTCAATTCGTAAAGGTTTGAAGAGTATTGCAGTGATTTCTGAGTTGTTATTTATATATGGTCGGGGGATTTTCTTTGTGCTTTCCTTGGGGGCGTTTGACTTGATTGGTTAGCTTGGGAGTATATGTCTTTTGATGCTGATAAGTTACGCCTTATATTTTCCACACAATCGGTTGTGATTCCGAAACTGAAAGATCAAGTGCCTAGACTAGCTGTCTCTAATTACATCTGTTTTGACAGTCATAAAGGAAGGCGAATTTGTTTTCGACGATTCCTTTCGACTTGTTTTGACAAGGTATGAATACAGAATCCTAGTGTCTCTATGAGACTGAATTCTCTGTAAAAATTTAATTGTTCACAGTATGATATCATTAAGAGTAAACATTGTCTTCATTCTTATATTCATCTATAGGCAACAAAAAGATTGCACTGAGTTAGTTTTAATTTACAGTTAACTGAACTTTGGAAGGATTTTTGAATTAAGTGAGAGAGCCAAATACACGTTCTCTCTAGATTTACAGGATTTATCATCTGGCCATTAGCAAAGTACCTTATCAGTGGGAGACTTTATTCGTATTTAAAGTAGGAAAGCTTCAAGGTGTTGGACAAATGAAGCTTTTCAAGTATTGTTTTTTGTAGGGATTTTGTTTGTTTGTTTGGTTAGAGGATTTCATCATGAGCTGACATCAGTTAGAGAACCATTGGAAAACCAGCCACAGGGAGTACTGGACAGCTGTTTCGTCAGCTTAGTTTGGGTCCCACAGGCAGTACGCACCCACCGGGGTTCGAACCCAGGATCTTCTGGTTACAGGGCGAGCTCGTAAACCATTAAGCCACTGGGACCCAATCCAATGGCAGGCCCATGAATTCCAACCTCGGCAAAGCATAACAGACAAATTCAACTCCTCGGATGATGGGATTGCTCTAAGCCTCTGAAGAAGCATATGAAACTGACTTAAACCTATTTTCTTTTCAGTGTATTTGCAGTGTCTTAAATCAACAGAAATGTAAAAATTACGTTGAAGATTAAAAGAAACAGTAAGGTGAGAGCAGCACTAAATTCTGTAAAATAAAGAGAAAACACTGCGTTACCTACGGTCATTCTGTAGTTAGTAAACTACGTGAAATGAACAAAAATTATTTCTTTCATTAGACACTAGGTTATAAATAACTAGGGTCATGCGTCTAGTCCTTTCTCTGCTGTCAACTGAATCCTATCAGTCATGTTTTCAACGTGGTCACCATGCTAGGTGGCTCGTCATCACGATGCACTCTGAATTATTGTCATTAAATAGTTGGAGACAATAGGAAGGAAACCTTGAACCTAGGTTTCGTGCTAGTTGGCACTCATCAGTCAGCAAGGAGTATCTAAAACCTTGAAGGAACTCATGTGAATTCTGAGATTCGAAAATCCAGTGCTGCAGTTAGGGATGTTACAACTGAGAAAACTGCTGAAGAATTTGATAAGCATATTATTTTGTGTATACTTTTGCTGGGATTACTTACTCGGGAGATTTCAATGAATGCAGTCAAAGCTGAGTAATCACACTGACTACTTGGTCGTCAATTGTTTTCAAATAGCTTGTTAAAGTACCAAATAAATTCTACCACCTACCTTATTTTAGCAAAAGATGTAATTCATTTTAGATTTTTCCTACTGAAGAAAGCCTTTTAAGAAACTATTAAACATTATAAGTTTACTTGAATAAAGGAAGAATATTTTTTTATGCAGAATGAGATAGTACCATCGTTTTTATTTCGTTGGCTTCTCATCAGCTGCTTAAACAGCCCAAAGAAATTATCAGTTAGTTTATGTACAGAAACAGTTTTAACATTCCTAGAAACGTTACATGATGTCACTAGACAGGAGACTTTAGGCTTAAACAGTGCTTAGAAATCACACTTACATAGCTTATGCCCCAAAACATTCAAGTTTAAACAAAAATAAATGTTTGAATACAACGGTCAGGGACTTACGTAATAAAGACTATATGATTTGAGTTGAACTCATCATACTGTCACTCAATTTATTACTTATTCATAATCTTATTCACTTCTAGTCTCTGTTTGAAAACTCCGTCACCACTGTACCAAGCCATAAACATCCAGGCACCACATACTTAAAACAGCAGAGTTTATCGCGATTCGCGTGAAACAACCAGTGCTTTGTGTGCAAAAGAAGCAGGTCCAGTTAGCCACTACTACTGACCTGGCTCTTCAGTAGAGAATATAAATTCATGAAATTATATTATCATCTTTCCTAATTTTCTGACATTCAGTGTATTGTTATGTTGATGCTATCGGAAGGTAATCCACTGATAGTGTTATTGATTCGATGTTGTTTAAGCAACATTAATGTTGTTAATAACACTAATTTATTCACTGTTATGTATATATACCTGTAGAACTTGATGAAGAGCAGGTTATCGAAAATGAATATTCTTTTTGCAGTAACCGCACTTCCAAATATGTTAAAATTGTTCTGTCCATAAACTGCTTGATAATTTCTTTAGGTAGTGAAAGCAGCTGATGAGAAGCCGACGAAATTAAAATGATGGTACCATCTTATTCTGTACAAACTCTTGTTCTTGCTTTATTCAAATTCATAAAGGGTGATAAATGTATGAAGTTTTTGAAAAATCACCTCATAAAATTATAAGTTTACTTTACGATCTCACTGGGGTATCATGCATAAACTAAACATTATTTTCATGGCAAGTGTTGAAAAATTGAGGTTTGATAGATTGTTTCAGTTTGTGATGAAATCCTCCGCGGAATCAATAAATTCTTCTCAAACTACGGAAATGAGTATTTTTGTATAATTAATAATAGAATCTATTCTTATAGATAAACTCACGTTTAGGAAAATATGCTCTCAGTTGTCCTTTATATGGTCCATCAATTTGATCGCATAATGTCTGGCGAATATTCACTTCCTTCCCACACATCTTCATTAATCAAGAGAAACAACAGGGAACAACATTTAGTATTCGAATATTGTATGATAAGATGGAAATTTTGATAGTTATATTTTAACAATTATGGTCTGGTGACACTGTGGAAGGAGGGACTTGTAAAAACAGTAATTTGTGCAACCGTAAATTAACACCTAAAAATAATGAAGGTGGCTATCTATTCTTCACAGGTAACTGGAACTGCTTATATCACTGCCATTCTACTCCTCGTTCATTTCGCCAATACTTTTAACATCTGTCCGAATTACACTGTGGGCAAAATTTATTTTGATCAAGTCTCACAGTGTTATACAGTAATATACTGATGTGACCACACTTAGAGCACAATCTACTACTGCTCATAATCATATCAAGTTACTCACACAACTTTTTAACTTCGTTTACATAATTCCACTATTTTTCATTGTTTGACTTGATTGGTTGTAGTATTTTCCATATTTCCGGTATGAGTGATTCTTATCACACGTGTTGGGTGGCATGTAAACCTACAAACACACTCAGGGACAGGTTCTGTAGGTTAAAGGACCCTGTAAGTTGACCCAATTAGAAAAAACATATTTATAAAATGCCTTGCAATGACTGTGAGTGACGTCAACTACATAAGTCACACTAGTAGGTGGGGGGTAATCAGATTGTCGGAAAATAAGAATTTAGCTAAGGGAAGAATGTTTGACCCCGAAAAGATGAGTAATTTAGAAAAAAGCTCAGCAGTTGCACTGCATGCATTAACACAACCACACAATAGGGCATGAGATGGTTAAAATTCTAAGAATTAATATAGGTAGGCGGAGAGAGAGGTTGATTAGTGAATCTTTGTTCATCGAGTCTACATGCAACACATGCAATAGGAATAACTCATCACTCATACCGGAAATATGGGAAATATTACTACCAATCAAATCAAGAGATAAAAAATAGTGGAATTATATAAACGAAGTTAGAAAGTTGTGTGGGTAGTACCTTGACATGATTATGAGCAATAAATTATGTCCGAAACATCATAAGGAAATATTACTGTATAACACTGTGAGACTTGATCATAATATATTTTACCCACAATGAAATTATACTCTACCGCAGTGGACAAGTTCTATTCTTATGTCTCAACTTCTTCTTATGGCATAATGGTAACGGAATAAATTTCTTAAAAGGGTACCCATAAAAATTTTTCTCTGAACTGAAAGTTGTGTCAGTTACTGAATTAAGTCGATTTTGTCATATTGATTGCTCACTATGCTGCATATGCGTCAGAACAACCATGTCTTTAACTGGAAATATTTGCCAGAGTTTATCAAACAAATTTTTTATGTTTCATTATGTAGGATGAAAGGCAGACTGTACGGCAGTTCCTTAAGCATATACTACAATTTTCAAGTATTGGTTTTGTAGGGAATTTTGTTTGATTGGTTAGGGCATTTCATCATGAGCTAACATCAGTTAGAGAACCATTGGAAAACCAGCTTGGAGTACTGGACAGGTGCCCCGTCCATCCTAGTTTGGGACTCTTGAGCAGTACGCACCCACCACAGGAGTTCGAACCCACGACCTTCTGGTTACAAGGCAAGCGAACTCGTAGACCATTATGCCACTGAGACTCGATCCAGTGGCTGTTCAGTACTCCCAGGTTTTCCAGTGGTTCTCTAACTGATGTCAGCTCGTGATGAAATCCTGTAACTAATCATTCAGATCCCTACAAACCAACACTTATTTTTGATTTTTGTTTATTTTTTGATGACAGCTTCATTCCACACCGTTTTTTGGTACAAGTATGGAGTTTTCAGCGTGTGATATTGGTATCCCAAATTTTGCAGGCCAACCATTGATATCATGTGTGCGTTGGCAGAGGATCGAACCCCGGACCATGTGCATGGTCGGCAACAATCCTAACTGCTGTGCCACCGACACACACTTGAGTAATGATGTCTTTTGTTTGATGACAACTATTAGTGGAATCCAGGGGTGTCTCATTTCGTTCTGTCTGGCGTTTGAAAGTATGAGTAATAGAGTTCAGGTCTCAAGGGGAAGGTTGTCTCTGTTTGGAGAGACAAGTACATCCAGATGACGAGTTCCAAATGAGACGCAGAGCACATCCTGGATTCCATCAACCAAATTGACACAGAGATATACTAGTGCTCAAAAATGGAGTGACCATTCTCTTCAAATTACTCTCAATACATTCCCTGTGTTAACAAGCGTTATATGTATATTTTATAAGGCACATTGCTCTAATCTACTCAAATACAGCCGAATAAACTTGTCCAAGTTATAGCTCATTCACGGTCCTATTTATTTGTATGATTCAGTAGCATGTTTTATACCATCAGTCGTTTTGTAAACTTTTGGTTAACTTCTGGTTTCTTCACCAACACGAAATTCCTAAAGCATGCTTTATTATTGTTTAATCAGTGTACACATGTTGTTTTATCTTTGATAGAACTTAAATATCGAGGAAGAAATGTCTTTCAAACAAAACAGAGATTTTCTATTTCTTGGTAGAGTTTCACATAGAACAATATTAATGTCAACATAGATACGAGATGATATCATACCTCAGTTCCACACGATCTCATTCTAGTCCTGGTTCCATGACAAAAGTCTCCTCCATGTTGTGGTCTATAGCAAGATATGAGACGAAACACAGGAAATTAAAAAAATCAAAGTCTTAAAGTATTTTGTTTTAGGGATTTAATGTGGTAATTAAGAAAAAAATAGAAAAATGGACGCAGATTTGATTTTGTACTACTTTCATTTTTGTAGTTATCGTCTATACAAGGTGCTTGTTGGCACTGCATTTAGAAGGTTAAAGTGGTAATTCAGGTTGTATTATGAAAAATATGGAAACGTTATCAAAATTCCTTGGATTTAAATCTATTTTCAAACTCCCAAAAAGTTCATTTTCAAAAGCAGATGCAGATACTTCAATAAGTTGTAATTTGAATGAGTCTAAAATGAAATTCTTTTCTGACATATTTCTCATATAGTATGTATAACCAAGAACCAATTGTGCAATAAATATGTAGGAAGAAATGGAGGTGGATAGGCCATACTCTGAGAAAACCATCAAGTGACATCACACTCCAGGCCATAGCTCGAGTGGAACCCGAACGGGAAGCGGCGAGTTGGTCGTCAGTGCGAGTGTGAAGTGACATGGAAGAGGTCATGTGAAAAGGAGACGAAATCATGTTGGCAGACGTGGAGCCAGGTGAAAAAGATGGTAGAGAACCGAACGCAATAGAGACGTGCGGTTGAAGCCCTATGTTCCTCTAGGAACTAAAGGAAACAATAATAGTAATAGTGTACAGCAAACTATGCTATGTCACTTAATTAACTTTGTTGAAGTACTTCTGTTAGCTTGTATTAGTATTCTAGGCTGATGTTAACAAGTGGTGGAGACGCTTGAAGTTACGAGAAAACCACCTACTCATACAAGAACTGGGATCAACAGGGATTCATTTAAGCTTCTAATTTAAGTCATTCTCTTAAATCCTGTTTTCTTCGGTGACAATTCTGTACATTCAATGATCACCAACGTTTAGAAACTAGGTTATATTGGGTTACAGCAGAGGGTTTGAAAGTCTTTGAAATCAGTTAAACTTATACCACCTTCGTACTTCATATGTTCACTATCCTACGGAGACAGAAGACTAGATACTTGGAGAATCCTACTAAACAAGTTATTGGCAAATAGATACTGAGAAAAACAAAGTCTAACGAGTAGGTTTTGTATTCACCTAAGGTTTTTGAAATTCCCCAAATAGAACTCACTTCACTATAAAAAATTATATGAATTTGTGAAATTTTATGAATTTTTGGTCCACTTGTTTCCAGCGTTATTCCCACCTATTCTGTTGAATTAACATGAATGCTTGGGGAAAGTGGTGGATTGGCTTGCACAACAAATTCCTTTTTCCTTTTCAGCTAACATGCAATGGCGATTTCAATAAGTGAAATGCCTTTATCGTAGAAAAAAACCATGTGTGATAACGAAATTGCTGCGCCTGCCGTTCCGTCGCAGCTGAGTAAAGCTTCAAGATTAAATATTAACAACAGTTTGATATCAGACCATCTGATCCAAACCGGCCACAAAGCCAGCCAGTGCGGAAGAATCCTTCTCTATCATCTGCCGGGTGCCTAATAAATTGCCAAAAACATCGCAGCACCGCATGCTACAAACAGCAGAGGCTATCGCAATTTGCGTGAAACAACCAGTGCTTTGAGTGCAAAAGAACCAATTCTAGCCACTACTACTGTCCTGGTTTTCAGTAGAGACTAAAAATTCATGAATTTGTACTGTTACCTTTCCTGATTTTTCTGACATTCAGTTTATTGTTATGTTGATGCTACTGAACTGTAATCCATTGATATTTTATTATTGATTCGATGAAGGGGTTATCGAAAAGAGTATTTTTTGCTCAGTACCTATACTTTTGAAAATACTAACAAATCATTCAACCTTCACAATGACTTCGCCTTCAACAATCGAGTCGAATAACAGTCCCATGCTATCTTACTATTCGTATTTATCGATAAGCGGGAGTTTGTAACAACTAGTATTATTTAGCCAGTAAAGATTCTCAGACGGATGTCACTGTTGATTTTAATCGTGCCGGTGAAGCGTGAAGGGATTCTGGGAAAACAGCAAATCAAGTTAATGACTAAATGCCATGCTGAAGGCAGTATAGGATGAGGAAATATGGAAGCGTATTACGATTTAGCTTGATCTGTAGCTAATTCGGGATGCTGCATTTTCCTTTCTCTTTTACCAATTAGGAAACTCTAGGAGATCTGGACCTTGTGGACAATTTATGTTTAATGTCACACAAACTCGAATATACACAGGCGGAAATCAATAAGTTGGCAGAAGAAACAGTGGACAAAGAGACGACGGAGGTGATAAAGATAACCAGCCAACAGTAACAATGAGTACCAATTACTGTCAACGAGGAAAACTTGAAAGAGATTACTTCCTTCACTTATCCAAGCAGTATCCTTTCAACCGCAGTCAACTTGTCAGATGAGAACGTCAATAGCAGAGTGGGGAAGGAAAGATAGGCGTTTATCAATCTGTAATCAATTCAGAAATCTCCTGCAGTCAGCATAAAGGGCAAGATTCAAACTTTCAACACCGATGTTAAGTCAGTCGTCTCTTCTAAATGGGTCAGAAACTCGACGCTTTACGAAAAGAATTTAGAACAGGCCACTGAAGACTTTTAACAGCAGCCACCTTCGTTGGCTTCATAATGAAGACCAGGAGGCCAGTCGGAATGAATTAGCAACAAGAAACTTCGATAACAGACCAATCAAGAACCTATTGCTGAATAAAAATTCCTATGAAAGTGAAGACAGATCGAACAGCCACTCAGCCCATTAAGGAATAATGCGCGCCCTACCATCACTCGAGTGAAACACGAAATGGAAACGACGAGTTGGCTATAGATTTGAGGGTAACATTAAGGCGATCGTGTGAGAAGGAGATGAGAGTCTATGGGGAGCCAGCTGAAGGAGACTGCAGGGGATTGGAAGAAATATAAATATGGTGATGAATACCTATGTTCATAAAATCATAACATGAAAAATAAGAGGCAGATTGAGATAGAAAATGTTTCGAGGTCATTTCTATCCTCATCTACGCGTATGTATGCAATTAATAAGACGTATTTTCGCACAACGAGTTTTGATTTTTTTTATCAACCTGATTTATACCTGAGAAATAAGTATCACACATATAATATTTCCTACTTACTCTGGATTATTACATTCTCTTTCAGAATATTGTACTCCTCCGCCACAACTACGTGAACACGCTGACCATGAACCCCATTCACCCCAACCTCCATGTATTGGCGTTGGATTTTCGTTAGTAGATATACACTCACCTTGGATACACCACTAGAGATAAAAAAGAAAAAGTGATAATATGCAGAAAACATAAAGCACTGAATTGACTGTAGATAAAATCAAATCATTCAGTTTTTTGAAGAATCCTTCCCCTCATCGATATGATTTGATTAAAGCAGGCCAGTTTTAGGAAAACCCCAAAAACCATATCCGCACATCATTTGTCACGATTACGAAATATTTAATGGGAGAGTGGAAAACAATAATTAGGATTTCTGTTCTATGAATGAAATTAAGTTCTAAAATTTTTGAACAAATGAACAAATCCATTCAATTTAGTACAGTTTGAAACTAGGGATAACTCTGAATCCGAAGCAAGTTGACTATGTAAAGAATTAGTTCGTAGAGATTCTATTTACTTCAGGTAAAACCACGGATTGATATCCGTTAGAGAACCGTTGAGGATCAGGGAGTACTGGGCGGCTGTTTCATCCATAGTCTAAATTGAAACAAACGAAATCATTACAAACCAAACTATAGAAAATTAATCTGATGCTCGCTGGTGACTTGCTACAGGATGGAGTTTCCTTGACTGAGTTCTAATGAGAAGTCTTGACCAGTGCGGTTCATCCAGATGTCACGCGTGAGGATGGATGTCCCACCGATGACATTGGTGGTCGGTAGTCACGCTAAAATCATGAATTTGTAGAAGTTAGAATTCATCGGCCATTGAATTGGTTTCCAGTGGCTTATTGGTTTACGAGCTTGCCTCGTAACTGCAGGGTACTGGGTTTGAACTCTGGAAGTGGTTGCGTACTGATGACGAGTTCCAAATTAGGAGGAAACAGTTGTCCAGTACTCCCAGGTTTTTCAATGGTTCTCTAACTGATATCACTCTGTGTTCTAGCCTGCAACCAACATAATCCCTACAAACTAATTCTTGAATATTTTAATACATATTACAGAATTTTCAGCGTAACAAGGTAAATTTATTCAGTCTCAAAATGTAAAATGCATAAAATGTTCATCTGGGGTTAGTCGATATGAAGTTGCCATGTTTCATAAGATAGTTTCTACCATTAGAATCTGGTTATTAGAGCAGAAATGAAAAATTACCCTGTGATTAGAATCAAAACATTTGAATGCAGTTCACTAGTCGCAGGAAGATATATATATATATGTATATTGGCTGGAGGATTTCATCATGAGCTGACAACAGTTAGATAACACTTGGAAAACCAGCTGGGAGTACTGGACAACTGTTTCATCCTAGTTTGGGACTCTTCATCAGTACGTACCCAACGGGGTTCAAACTCAGGACCTTCCGGTTACAAGGCTAGCGAGTTCGTTGACCATTAAGGCGCTAGGACCCGATCCGATGACAGGCCCATGAATTCTAACTTTTGCCATTTCACGACACCTATGTCCCTTCTGAGATTCGAACCCACGTGACCTACTTCTGAGGTCAGAGATGTTACCACTGGGCTATTCGAGCTCGTGACTGACATCCTATATGACTTCAGTGAATACTTTGATTGGACACAAGTAACTAGTGTGATGTGTGTACGTCTAATTCTTTCTTTGGTGCACACTGAATTCTATTAGTTAGGTCTGCAATGTGTCCACCATTCTAGGTAGATCGCCATCACGGAACACATTGGTTTGATGATATTAGACACTTAGAGGCAATCGGCAGGAAGCCTTGTACCTAATCTTTATATTTATTATCTATAAAACTAGGCCTGCCTTACTTAGTAAGCTAACGTCTGTCTGAAAAAACGAGCTGGTTCATGAAAATTGATAAAAGTTTTACTATACTATAAATCGCAAGATAAAGCTTTCTTAAAATATATCAGTTTTTGTTTTGAATTATCATAAACATCACATAAACTACATTTTGACTGTAATAGAAGAGAACAAAATGACCCACCTTATTATTTCCACATGGTGTTCCTTCAGCCCAAGCTGCTTCCACAGGCAAACAAGACTTATGCTCACTGTCTTGACAGTAAAGTTGACGGCAAACAGGTAACTGTGACAAGAAGAAGATGTAAGAAAATATGAAACGATTACACATATATATGCATAACTATACACACATAATTTCAGATCTTCAATACACCAAGAAAGTTCATTAAAACAGTTATAAAAAAATCTCCGTTTTGATTACATTCAAATAAAAAGCTGGTCAAGTAATTTCAGGGTAAGAAGAATGACAGAGAGCCAAGTAAAACAGAGATATACTATTGACACCTTAAGTTGCTATAGCAACGCACGTAACGCATAATGATAAACAAGATAGTACGATACATGTGGCGTGTATTTCAAAATCATTAAAATGAAGTTAATTTAGAAAGTATGTTTCTTAAGCTGATTTACTCTCACTTTTACTAACTTTCCAACTAACAGTAGGTCGTTCTAAATTATTTCTTTAAAAATTTCTCGAAAAACCACTTGTCCTGGAATATACAACTGATCTGTAATTCTGTTACGCTTTCTTCAGAATAACTGATGAGTTCATATTCTGAAAATAGACCTCAAGATATTCTGATTTCAATGAAAAGTCATACCAATGTATATATGGTTAAGCAGCATAATATCTAAAGTGTAGTCTTACCCCAACCATGAATGTCTGCTTCAATAACTGGACTACATGAATTTCCACCCAACACAGTGCATCATCATATTATCTCTAATTCTTCTTGTCTTAACTATCCAGTTATCTCGTTGAGTTGTGAAATGTACTCACCACGCACATTTTCAATTGGCCTTCAAACTACAGGTGCATATTTCGCAGAGATGAAGGAGAGATATCGTGAGAGATTAGTCTGTGTGCTTCTGGTCTGGAAGCATTGCATTGTGGTGAGAGCTGGCTGGTAGACAGTGATTGACGTCAATGTTTATGTCCCCAATATTGGTGGTGAGAAAATGAGAACAAAGGCTTTGCGTAGGCGGACACAGTTAGCTTATGGATGATCTGACACAGCCACAAAGATATGCAAGGTTAACTTTCTGTGAGAAACAACCAATCAAAAGACTGTATTTTCTACTAACAATAATCTACAATAATGTGCATTAAAATCTATAAATATGTGTTGATTTTCCTTAATAAATGATCTGTTGCCTGGCCCTTGTCTTCTGTTGTCACAGAATCACACGACATACCACAGACTGCTATTTTACTTGAAGACGCTGAACAACGAGAAGATATTATGCAATAAATTACGCTGATAACTCTGTACACTGTGTAAACATATTTTTCAAAATAAAGTCATTTATTTATTGTTAATTATTATTGTCTATAGTTTGGTTTGTAAGGGTTAGTTATGTTTTTACGAGTTGATCACGGATTGGTATCAGTTAGAGAACCATTGAAAACCAGGGAGTACTGGACTAGAATTCATGAGCCATTGAATCGGGTCTCAGTGGCTAAATGGTATACGAGCTCGCCTTGTAACCGGAAGGTCCTGGGTTCGTATCCCAGTGGGTGCGTACTGCCGATGATTCCCAAAATAGGATGCAACAGCAGCTGTCCAGTACTCTCTGGTTTTCAATGGTTCTCTAACTGATATCAATCCGTGATCAACTCGTAAAAATACTATTATTGTTATTTCAAAAATGAAAGGAAACTTGGCAAGTTGTTTCATATTAATATACACTAGTGAATAGAAGTCACAAATGCGGATTCACTAAACCAAAATCTCGCTTACAGAAAGATAAGAACATCAGTGAGAACGTAATGATGTTAAATATTTTGTGTCATTAGCTTTCTCAAGTGTTAGTTTTGTAGGGATTATTGTTTGATTGGTTGGATGATTTCATCATGAGCTGACACCGGTTACAGAACCATTGTAAAACCAACTTGGGGTATTGTACAGCTGTTTCTTAAGCCTAGTTTGGGACTCTTCATCGATACGCACTCACCAACAGGTTTTGAATCCAGGACCTTCTGGTTACAAGCCGACCTCGTAAACCATTAAGCCACTGGAACCAGATCCAATGGCCAGCCCATGAATTCCAACTTCTGCCAATTCACGACATAGTGCGACCGCTAGCAAATGTCTCCTTTAATGTCAGCTTATAATGAAATCCTCCACTCAATCAAACAAAATTCATTACAAAAACCAGTACTTGAAAATTAATCTGACGCTCACTAGCGACTGGCCCCAATCACGCAGTTAACCTGGGGTTCTAGTGGGAAGCCGTAACCAGTAGTGAACAGCAATCGAAGGTGAGGCAGTCACTCATCGAAGAAGACACTGTCTAGCGGTCGCACTATGTCGTTGAATCGGGTCTTAGTGGCTTAATATTCTGTGAGCTCGCATTGTAACCAGAAGGTCATGGATTCAAACCATGTTGGTGAGTGTGTACTACTGAAGAGTCCAAAATTAGGCTGACGAAACAGCTGACCAGTACTCCCAGTTGGTTTTCCAATGGTTCTGTTACCGATGTCAGTTCATGATTAAATCCTCCAAGCAATCATTAGCTTCCTGTCACTTATTATGATATTAAAACACTGTTAGCTTATTTTGGAAAGAAAATTAAACTGAGTTTGCAAATACTGACATAGTACAATTAAACTACATGAATTCTACATACATCAAAAATCACAAATACTGTAAGTCCGTGGTAATTGAATTTTGCTTGCTTCTTAACAGAAAATTGCGAAAAACAGTAACCAAATATATATAAGGAATGAATGTGGACAATGCGTTTGAATATAATTCTATGTTAGATAGATTTTTCTGGACAGTAGCTCAAAGATGGGGTTTCAAGCATGATTAACTGTTTTTAATCGTCTCATCTACAAACTTTACTGAAAATGGAATAAATCATATATACTTCATGAAACTGACGGTGAATCTAGCACTTGATGTTGCCACTTACTGTTGAAAACACTTTCATTGAGAAATAGACTTTCTTTAGAGTTGGGAGTTCTCAGCCGGCAGTTTGTCAATGTTTTAATTCATTGAGACGACTAGAATGCAAAGGTTTTGGTTGAAGACTTTTGCCTACAAGTAATTTTGTATGTTTGAATCGAGTCTCAAATAAAGCTCTGTATCACTTGGGAAATTTTGTGGCAACGGTTTTCTCCGTTGGGCTGATCCAGCGAAAACAGGTGCATAAAAACAATTGTCGAACATAATGTAGAAGGGCGGTATTTAAGATACAAGTCTTGCTTTGATATACAAGAGGAATAGGAAGATCGATTATTGCTTAAAACCATACTCTGCTGATTGAATGTGATGAGAGATTATATTCTACTCATATCAACCAGTAGTGCTTGTCAGCTCGCCACCTGATGGTCAGCTGAGTCAAACCGAGTACACTGCTAATAAGCATGGCTGCAAAAGAGCGAAATAGCCACCTGGTGTTTAGATCACCTCCCTCTAGCTAGTGAGCACTACTAGTTGATATGAGTGATGTTTAACTACACCTCTCAATCATTTTGTAAAACATAGTTTTATGCATCGTTTCAACTACAGGTGGACGGAACTGATGAGAATATCAAAGCAAGAATCGGAAAAGCAAAACAAACTTTCATAACTCTCAAGTCTGTGTGGAGGTCAACAACACTCAGAATCAGAAATAAGATCTGACTTTTCAACTCCAATGTGAAGTCAGTGCTACTATACGGATCAGAGACTTGGCGCGTCATAAAGAGCATCTCAAACAAACTACAGATCTTCACCAGCAGTTGTCTTCGCTCAATACTCAAGATCAGATGACCAGAAAAGATCAGCAACAGAGATCTCTGGGAGCGAACCAACCAGGAACCAATGGCGCAACAAATTTGCAGAAAGAAGTGGAAGTGGATTGTTCATGCTCTGAGAAAACCATCAAGTGATGTCACACGACAGGCCATAGCTCGAGTGGAACCCAAACGAGAAGCTGCTAGTTGGTCGTCAGTGAGAGTGTGAGGTGACATAGAGGAAGTGATGTGAAGAGGAGATGAAAGCGCGTGGGCAGGCTTGGAGCCAGGTGAAAACGTTGGCAGAGAACCGAACGCAGTGGAGACACATGGCTGAAGCCCTATATTCCTCTAGGAATTGAAGGAAACAATAATAATAGGCTTTTGCAAACATGCTCAGTTTCTCGATTACTACTCATGGTATCAAGTAAGTCACATACTATGATGTGAATAATTTTGTTTCCGAAGAAAACTACGGTGAAAATTATACCTCTCTGTCGGTGTACACTGCAAACTGCTAAACAGTTTATCGGTTTCCAGGCCGTAGGTATTACGAACTTCCTGGAATAATTTGAGCGCCGAGTCACATTGAAATATATTTTGATAATTAATAAAAATCCGAATAAATCTGCTGAAGAAGCTGTGGCTCACACAGCGAAACGTTCAGAAAAATCTTGTTTTGATTTTCCTAACACGCTGGGATTAAATAAAATAATTTATAATGCTAAACAGTTTGACTAGAGAAAATCGGTCCCCATCAAGTGTGTTTATGAATCTATATATCGACTGTTTGAACCTCATTATTATTGGAAGAGAATGGAAGAAAAAAATACAAACAAGTTTTGTTTTCCATTATGGATAAAATTTTAATTTTCTAAAAAATCACACAGTGTTATACAGTATTATTTCATGATGACCACGTTTCGAGCATAAATTATTACTGCTTACAATCATATCATGGAACTACTCGCAAAACTTTCTTGCTTCATTCATATACATGAGGGGAATTGATTAGACATTTGAGTAAAATCAATACGAGATAAAGTACATTCAGAAATAGTAATATGAGTGTTATCAATCAAATACAAGACAATAAGAAATAAGACGAGTGTTTTTATAGTCAAAATAAGTAACTTGTTAGAATGTTAGAATGCAAATCGAATACATTTTAACATTACTTATCATCCTCTGATTTGACTGGCAGTGATATCTTCCATATCTCTGGTATTTGCTTTGGGTCACTTAGATTGCATATGTCGGGTGTAGACCGGATGAACCAGGATTCAGTAATCAATCTCTCTCTCTCTACCTACTTATATTACTTCTTAGAATTTCGACTCTGTCCCACCCACCCAATTGTGTGATTGTGTGTTAATGCATACAATGCAATTGCTGAGTTTTTTTCTAAATTACTTATCTTCGTGGGATCAATCATTCTAACCTTAGCTAAATTCTTATGTTCTGATAATCTGACTACCGCGGACTTACTAGTGTGACTTATGTAGTTGACCTCAATCACAGTCATTGTAAGGTATTTTGTAAATTATATCATTTTGTTTAATTGGGTCAACCTATAGGGTCCTTTAACCTACCTACAGAGCTTGTCCTACCTGAGTGAGTTTGTAGGTTTGAATGCCTCACTAATCCCTGCTTTATTGAAAATCCTACCATATTGCTCAAGTTTTATCCTTAATACATATGGTTTCGTTTTATTTTGTCGCATAATACTATCAAAAAAGCACTTAACCGGATATATTCAGTGTCAAATTGTATTCATGAAGACCAAAATTAATACTCTTTATTTGAATTGTTCTAAGAAGTCAAGTTATTGATATCTAACATGGGTAAAAATACAAAAAAAATGGTAATCAAATACTCAGTAAATTCGACAGAACACAGATATATATGCATGTATGTATACATCTCCATAATTGAGACTTACCATTTGACCACAGAACTGGGTTCCTTTAATTTTCAATACAAATTCACACTGTCGATTCAATGAGAATACTCGTCCTGGACGATTTTCAACATATTGACTGGCCAGTTTTTCTGCAGAATATAACACTGTTTCGGTATTTGGGCGTCTTAGACAATTTGCTGCATTTGACCTGGTTATTTCACATTGATAAAAGAGGCAAAATGAAAACAGAAGTCATAAGTTAAAGATGAAGGAAAGAGAAAATAAGGAAAAAACAAAGTGAAGTAATAGATATAAGTCATAAAGCATTAAGTATATGCAAAAACAAGAACGAAAAAATAGAAAAGAGATTTTCGTAAGAAGAAAAAGGATTAATTCTGAACTGATTTATGTTCAGTATGTGTTATGAAGTGATTGGTAAATGAGCTAGAAGACGCGAGTGAAATGTACACTCCACTTCTATCCATTTACTTTCTTTTTTCTTAATAAGATAAGTACGGTTTTATTTGGGCCTGGAATGCATTTCTTCATTGAGAGTGGAAGGAGCTAGGGAAAGGGAGGAGTAATTTCACGATAATAATCATTTTTTTCCTTAGTGAATTAATTACAGTTTTGTTTACTGTATCCTTGAAATCTCTGATATGCTTTCTATATAAATATATATATCGAAGTATTCTATTAATTATATATATAACTATTAAGTAATTATTATTACTATTATTACTTGTATATTTAATCAGTTGTATATACAGGCACATCAATTGCATTAGTGTATTTATATTTATAACTAATGTACAGTTAATTCTATTAGTAATTACTAAACGATTTAGAAAGGTAAAGTGAAGAGGTTTCTTTCGAAAGGATAATTTATTTGTCAAATGGAAGGAGATAATCTGTTTATTATGTCACCAAGATTCAATTGATAATTTAATGATTATCTGTGAATGGAAATTCCCTATAGTAGTAATATACTACCTAATTGAGTAGAAGGGCTGAATATTATTCGCATAAAAGCCTTGTGCTGTTTTCTTTTTAGTTGTGACTATCCTACATGCTTATAAGCAGCATGCATTAACCAATTTCGATTATCATTATTTATTAGTGTTTCCTTTAGTTTCCCTAGAGGAACATAGGGCTTCAGTTGCACGTCTCCATCGCGCGTTCGGTTCTCTGTCAACGTTTTCACCTGGCTACACGTCTGCCCACATGCTTTCATCGCCCCTTCCTATTCAAGTCCCACTCGAGAGCCTGGAGCGTGATGCCACTTGATGGTTTTCACAGAGTATGGTCAATCCACCTTCATTTCTTTCTGCATATTTGTTGCACAATTGGTTCCTGGTTGGTTCGTTCCCGGAGGTAGCTTTTGCCGGCCGGCCATCTGATCTTGAACGGAGTATTGAGTGCAGACAGTTGTTTATGAAGGTGTGTAGTTTGTTCAGAGCGCCCTTCGTGACGCTGCGCCAAGTCTCTGGTCCGTTAAAGAAACCAGCACTGGATTCACATTTGAGTTGAAGATCCGGATCTTATTTTTCAAGCTGAGTGCTGTTGAATTCCACCCAGCCTTGAGAGAAATGGAACCTTGTCTTGCTTTCCCGACCCTTGCTTTGATATCCTCATCTGTTCCGCTTGACTAGTTTTGAGGAGGTAGCTTATTTCTTAGGGTTAGTCAAGATCTATTCAGACAATTATTGGAAGTAGTGAGGACTAAAATCAAGCATGGGTGTTCCACCGATCATAATGATCGGTGGTAGAAGTTGTTATTTATATGCTGACCATTGAATCGGGTCCCAGTGGTTGCTGAATGGTATGCGATCTTGCTTTGTAACCGAAAGTCTTGGATTCGAACTCTGGCAGTGTGTGCGTACTACCGATAATTCCCAAACAAGGATGAAACAGCTGTCCAGTAGTCCCTGTAGCTGGTTTTCAATGGTTCTCTAACTGATATCAATCCGTGATCAACCAGTAAAAACAAACAATCTTACCTTATATAATACGTAGCAACACAGGCTTAATAACAGGATTGAGTAGAATTAAGGAAAGCAAGTTAAAAAAGTTGTGGGAATCCAGTGAAATGATTATAAGGGATTAATTCTGCCTGAGATTACATCTACGCATTACTATTTTACTAATGGATATTGTATCAGGTAAACTTATGTAATATAGAGTTATATACTACAAAAGTCAGGAACTATAGTGCTAAGAATCTTCATAGTCAAGCTGAAAGCCTTCAAAGAAGCCAGAAATAGACCACAATTCTAGTATAAAAGCTAGTAAGTGAATAATATAATACAAAGGACACATTCACTTCGGCCATCAGAAAAAACTGAAGACATTATGTAACATCATGGAGGGAACTGGAATAGAGGAACACTGAAACTCCTTGAAAGTGATGTTGAATTAAAACTTGTATAGATGTCTTAGAAAGAAAGAAGAGACAAAACAAAATGGTACCTTCTATGGACACGGGAAAGCTAAAAGAGGAGAGAAGGATAGCGATTCGAAAGACATAGCAGTGAAAAGACAAAAGAAGAAGATGGGTTCAATCCACAAAAGACAATTCTTCGATTGAAGCAGAACAGATCGCAGGTGAAAGAGAATTCAGAACATTACATCAGATAACTAAGTCTCAATCTAGGAAGAAAAGATGGTCAAGGGAACCAAGTTACCAATGAGAAGACAAAGGAAAGGTGGGATTATTACTTTAAAAGTCTGTCGAATTGCCCACCACCTATAACTGGTGCAGATATATCGGTAGCAGACAAAGAACTGTCAGTGAGCAAGTGTTCTCAGACAGGAGCAGAAGTCTTGAATGCCATAAAGCTACCGATGCTGGGAAGACAGCAGGTCTAGACAGAATCCCTCAGAAGCACTGAAAATGGATCCAGAGACCTCACTGGAGGCACTGATCCTTTACTTTTGGATTTTTTAGGAAGGAATAGCACCCAATTGCTGGGAGAGGGCGTATCCTATCAAAATATCAAAGAACGGCAACTTCAGCCTTTGCAAAAACTGATACGGAACAATGCTGCTGTCCTCTCCAAACAAAATATCAAGTTGCATCATGCTAGAGAGATTGAAAGATGCTTTGAATGTAAAAATCTGCGCGGAACAAGCTGAATTCAAGAAAAGGGAATCATCAGTGGAGCGAATTCCAACGCTACTCATCCTAATGGAGCTGGAAATAGAATTGTAGTGAACTTTCTATCTCAACTTCATCGACTGTGAATAGGCTTTCAATAGACTGAATTGTGAAGTAATATAGAAACTGCTTCAACACTAAGGATTGCCTCTAAAATTTATAAGCCTCATGTAAAGGCTATATGATAATGCCAGTTGTCAAGTAATGCACAACGGAAATGTAAGTGGAGACTTCGAATTGAAGAGAGAAGAAAGAGCATTATTGATCGAATATCAGTTTGGAAGTCTTCTGCACTTAGCTTAGGAAATAAGCTGCAGTTTTTCAACACTCATGTTAAGTCAGTTCTTCTATATGTTTCATCGACTTAGCGCATCACGAGATTATTTCCAACAGTCACCGATGGGACATACGTTGAGAAGGCCATCAAGTGAAATCAAGCACGAGACTGGTACAAAGGGTGAAATGTCAATAGTAAACGGTGAGTTTGATGTCCGAGAGTGATACCAACGAGATAATGTGTTTGAAAATTCCTCACCAAGATTAATACTCAGCTATGAATTTTGATTAGTACATATCTTAAGAAAACCAACAGTATGTTATATAAAATAATAATGATAAAGGAAAGAACATCGTAAGGAGAAGGGGAAAGGGAAGGAAAATTGTAAGGGTAAAATAAAAAGTCAACTACGAAGGAAGATTTAAAGCAAGTGCTGCTTCTTTTCGTATACAGAGATGCGGCTTCTTTAATCGAATTGTGCAGGCTTCAGAAGAACCAAGGGCATATGATCAGTCGTCAACCCAGTTTTATACCTTCTGCACATATGTAACAATAGTTCCCTGGGTTCCGAGTAGAAAATAAAGCCTCAGCAACAAATCTCCATTGCACTGTGTTCAAGACAGACCTTGTCAACTGGCTTAAAGACTGATCATAAGCTATCATTTCCTACACACATTATCTCCTCTGTATCACTCTCGGACATTAGACTCACCGTTTCCTATTCCAGTTTCACTCTAAGGCCAGTCTAGTGCTTGATGTCACTTGATAGCCTTAAGTAATTTACATGTTGATGAAGATGAATTCAGAGATATATGAAGTTATTTTAAATCATTCTGAAACAATCCAAAGAGTACCACTTCGCTTATGATGCACGGACTGTACAGTAGTGGTAAAATAAATAATTTTATTAATCATCAATGTACATTTATAAATCTAAGGTTTTATAACGATTTTTTTTCACAGTGAATAAAAAAAACTTTGCAGAGTACAGACTGTCTCGTATTGGGGTTGATTTTCCCAAAACAGTTATGTTTGTATCCCACTACACGAGGAAGGATAGAAGTTCATTAACAGTTCACCCTGAATATGTAAAGGCGATTCTGCCACTGTCGTAATCATTATTGTCTTTCTGACTTCAGTTAAGATTTATCAGACTTTTTCAACACTGTAACATCCTGAATTATCAATATTTGTCAGACTGTTTGACATCTGTGTAGATTCCAATTGACCACATTAATAACCAACCCGTTTGGAATACACAAATGATAAGTTATATCATAAGTTCCTGATCCTCATGTAGGATGAAAGTGAAGTTGATGAACCGGTTTGTACTGGTTTGATTTATTCTGGAAATTTACTTTCCTTATCTTCTTGTTTTACCTACTACTCAGTATACAGTATCGACCATAGCGTCCTTCTGTCCGTTTGCACTTGTTTCCACCCAACAGAATACCGTTTTCATTAAAAATCTCTGATTTGTCATAAACTTATGAATGTAAGATTATCCATTCACTACTGTATAAATGAAAAAATTTGATGAAAACAATTGTTTGTATCCTCTTAGTTAGGAAGAAAATAGAAGACAAATTCAGCGAAGAAAATTTTCTTTGTCGACGAAATCAACTTCACAGGCTGCCGTACAGTCGTATTTGTATTTACCAAAAATGTATAGTAGTCCATTATTGAGTAAACTGGGGGTGGTGGTGACATAATTGATATAATTAATCAGAAGTGGCTTTAGAAATGAAAAATAAAAGTTGTAAATTACTTGGTACTCAACAGCACCTCAAGTACCTCTCGAGCACTTGGTGAACTCGAGCCACGTAGCTCCACTAGAGTCGTCTTTCAAGATCATCTACAAGGTGAGGCCAAATGGTGCAAAGAGCGTCACGTTTCGGCTTTTGTGCATAGTGGAGGTGCTGGCGATTCGTCAATACAACGCCGAACTTTGCATACAGAAGATGTTTGTCCAGTCTCTTATTCTATCTTAGTCTTAACCTCCTCTGGGCATTTCCTGTAAAAAATTTTAATTTTTTTCTTTTTTCAATTTTCAACTTGACTTTTAGTTTGCTTTTAAGTTGATGATTAATTCACTATTATCACTCATATGTTACTGTTGTACATTTTCACACTCTCATCATACTTGTTAAATTGACACTCAGTGTTTTTGTTCAGCGGAGAAATTTCTTTTCAACGACTTCATTCTCAAGCTGTACAGTCGTATTTACATTACAGAAAAGTTTATTAAGTGGCACTAAATAATTGCTCATTCAATATACATATATATGTGTTTTCAAGTATTGGTCGTGAATTGGCAGAAGTTATAATTCAAGGACCATTGGATCGGGTCCCAGTGACTCAATGGTCTACGAGCTCGCCTTGTAACCAGAAGGTCCTGGGTTCGAATCCCGGTGGGATCGTACTGCTGAAGAGTCCCAAACTGGGACGAAACAGCTGTCCAGTACTCCCAGCTGGTTTTCCAATGGTTCTCTAAATGATTTCAGCTCATGATAAATTCCTCCATGCAATATATATATGTGATAAGAATAACGATAATTAAAATGTTATAAGGGTTAGAGTTGAAGTGGATAAATTACAAAATTATTAAAGGTTGTTTTATAAGTAAATTGATATCAAATATTTAAAAAAAATGTCAGTTGTTGTCTAAAAATTTTAAAATTAGGAGTACGATTACGATAAGAATGAAGATGTGAAGTGAAATGGAAAGAATTCAAGTGGTAAAATAAAAACTAGAAAGAACATTAAAGAAGGGTGTTTGACAAAACGTTTTTGAACACATAATTTAGGTTTTTCTTCATGTATAGCTATAGCTTCGGCTATGCATAAGTGAAGAAAACGATTTTGCCATGTAGATAACCCTGAAGGATGAGTCACGTGGGACTGAATGACCAAACTCTAACAGGCGATCACAAATAGATGACTTCGCAGTTCTACGTTCGCCTTTCATTAACCAAACCGGATAGTGTTCAGCTACACGTTTTCGGAGATTACGCTTACAACGTCCAATATAATCAGCTCCACAAGAGTAGGTAAAAGAGTAAATGCACATGGATGTGGGCATAAGCGTAATCTATCCTTGACGCATTGTCTAATCATACTTCGGCTGGCAAAAACTATTTGCAAGTCAGATGCAGGAAACTCAACTACTTTTATTCTCACTCAATAACAATTTTAATCTTATCAAATTTCTAACTTTGTGCCGTTGAGTACCACCTAATTTACAACTTTTATTTTTCACTTCTAAAGCCACTTCTGAGTAATTATATAAGTTATGTCACACGCCCCTTTACTCAGTAATAGACTACTACACATTTTTGGTAAATATAAATACAGCTGTACAGCCTGTGAGGATGGTTTCGTCGACGAAGAAAATTGTTTTCCCTAAGTTATCTTGAAAATAAAAACTTTTCATTTGGTGCATACAAGGTCATATTTATGGTTATCTTCGCGTAATGTATGTGTACTGTGGGCATATATTCATTTTTTCATCATTTTTAGTGATTCCAATTAGACTAATTAACATGTAATGCTTGTTGGTGGTGATATAACACTGGGTGAAGTTACAATAAGTAGGGAAATCATTTCATTGCGTTACCACACATTAGATATCCAAAATCAATTATTGTAAAAACATGACTAACCCTTACAAACCAAACTATAGAAAATTCATCTGATGATCGCTAGTGACTTCCTACAGGATGGAATTTCCTGGAGTTCTAGTGAGAAGTCGTGACCAGTGAGGTCCAATAAGATGTCACGTGTCTGGATGGATGTCCCACCAACGACAATGGTTGTGGTCGCACTAAATCATGAATTGGTAGAAGTTAGAATTCATGAGCCATTGAATCGGGTCCCAGTGGCTGAATTGTATACGAGCTTACCTTGTAACCGGGAGGTCCTGGGTCCGAATCCCAATGAGTACTTCCGATGATTCCCAAACTAGGCACATGAAACAGCTGTCCAGTACTCCAGTGCTGATTTTCAATGGTTCTCTAACTGAATACAATCGACCCATGGTCAAACTCGTAAAAACATGACTAACCCTTACAGACCAAACTATAGAAAATATTGTAAGATATGATATTTTTAAATTAGTTGGTGGATTCCACCATGAGCTGAAACATTGAAAAACCAGCTGGGGGTACTGGACAGCTGTTTTTTCAGCCTAGTTTTGGACTCTTCAGAAGTACGTACCCACCTCAGGGGTTCAAACCCAGGACATGTTTGTTACAAGGCGACCTCGTTGATAAATATACTCTTGAAATTTAACACTTACCAATGATCTTAAGTTTTATAAAATATGAATTTTCTGTGGATACTTTCATGTGAATTTAACAGGATCTACTTCTGACTGTATCGTTTATTTTATTGTATATAACACATTGCAGTATGTTGGTCTTGACTTGCAATACAAAGTTGTCTGGTGTTAATAGATTCACCGATACGACTACCACCTGTTCCACTTTTGTCAAAAGGCATAAAATGAATACGTAGATAAAGAAAGTTGATCAATACTTTCCCAAGAGTTTGTTTTCACATGATGACAACAGGAAGACACCTTTTGGAAGATTATTCCACCCACTGAATAATCTATAGTTTCTAGGATCTGTGGAATAGAATTATTGTACTTTATGCATTCGCTGAAAAATTATCCCTAGATTTTCACGAAACAGCTGTTATTATTTTTAAAACTTTACAAAGACACATAAAAATTGGCATTTGAATACCCAAACCTTTCGGTTGAAATTTACATATATATATTTGAATAAGGCACTAAGAAGACAAACTTCGCAAGATGATATCATTTCGTAGTTTCTTTACAACCGCTTTACAACTAACATGCTTGGTTCACAATAATAAAATAAAGTTCATGACAATTACTCAGTCAAATAAAAAACATCTCGAAAAGACAGCATCTCTACCAAACAAAGTTATATTTATTAACCTACCATTCAAGGGCGACCACATTATGCAGTTGACAGTTCAAAGACTTCGGTCAGCCATCAAACGCACATTCTACGCCGCAACGCTTTCCTCACATCTTGAAGATTCTCGATCCCTGTACCTACGATTAAAGGACGAAATTCTGTGGACTCTACTTCAAACTGTATCTACAAGTTCACCTGCAGTTGTGGTGACACCCATATAGGTAGAACCAACAGAATGTTTCAATGTGGTGGTCGAAAAGAACATGTTCCAAAATGGCTACTAAATCATATAGAAAATCCCAACGCGATTAATCTGAATAGAAATCCAGCATCATCCATTGCAAAACACTTATTAATGTCAGGTCACAAAATCAATATTAATTAATGACTGTTTCACAATTATTTCACATAACTCTAATTCAAGGTCACTTACTGAAGGTGATGAAAGCACTTTGGATTAATCACATACAGCCTAAATGATGTGTGTACAAAAAACAATGGACTTCAATCTTCGCCTACCATGGACAACATGACCTATCTAAATATGATTGGTCATTAGTATGTACTTTTGTGTTTTTTATTTAACTGAGTAATTGTCATGAATTTTATTTTATTATTGTCAAACATTCTAGTTGTAAAGCGGTTGTAAAGAAACTACGAAATGATATTATCTAGCGAAATTTGTCTTCTTAATGCCTTATTCAAATTTATCAAAGGAACCAATTGTTTTAATATGTATATGTTTGAAAAGTGATCTACACTTCAAGTCAAGGTGATTAATTTGTCTTTGCTATAACAGACGGATTGACTTACTCTATGAATGTATGTATCGCCTGACGACTACACGCGGACCATCTTAGCGGGAAGTTGTCGAAGTACAATGTACCAGACATTATTGTATCTCTTTTAATAAATTCGTATTGATGAACATCTGGATTCCAGTAACTCTCTCTATAATCCCAGCCGTCTCCAGCTTGATGATATGGATAAGTGCCCAACTTCAATTCATGTGTACTACTCCATGGTGTTTCCACGTTTCGATTTCTTTCTTCTAATCCACAATCTGAGTTTAACTCAAAATCGTGTTTAGCACCCAATCTAAAAAAATAAGATAAAGAAAAAAGTAAAATGAATGACAAAAATCTGAGTATCGGAATACCAACCTCATATTTGAAGGAGTTGTTATTAAGGTGCGCACTCAACGTACAATTCGCATTCAACGACGTCATCTACAAACAGAAGGACGGGATTGTTAAGGGCTTTTCCTTTGGCCCACTTTTGGCAGACTGCTTCATGGCTAGGCTGGAAAATGGCATCTTAAAATCAACAATGGACAAATTGCTGCTGTACAAGAGATATGCCGATGATACTTTCATAGTTTGTCAGGATGATTCCGATTTAAATTGTACCTTACAGGAGATTAATAACTGCCATCCTTCGATTAAATTCACAATTGAAGTTGAAAATAAATCAAAGATTTCATTTCTGGACGTCGAATTGACAAGAAGCGATAATGGAACTCTGAAAAGATCTATCCATAAAACACTAACATGGAATGGCCAACTGACAAACTTCTACAGTTCGATATCTGTCAGCCGTAAAAGAGCTCTCATCATCTCGCTAGTCCACCGTACCAGAAGGATTTGCAGCAACGATTGTCTGGATGAACGGCTCCTATTTATCAAAATCCTCCGGCTTCAAAATGGATACCCACCACGTTTCGTGGAGAAGAACATGAAACCGAAGCCAAAAAGAGAAGAATACACTTCAGTGCCAAAGAAAACACTTCATTTGAATCTGGAATTCAGGGGAGACCTAGTAGCAGATATCCTTAAAAGGAGAATCTAAGAGTGATATTCTCCAGTCTCCCACTACCTCGGAGTAACGGAAAGGACAAACTTCCACATATGACTACTTCAATGTGCATATATCAGTTCACCTGCTCTTGTGGAGCTAGGTACATAGGTCTTTCTATGCGGGTTTTATCGAAACGTGTTAGAGAACATCATCCAACATGGCTGCAAAGAGGAGGCACTGGTTCAATTAGAGGCGCCATAACTGAACACCTCATCAGTACCTGTCACAACATCTCAAATGACTCATCATTCAGAGTCGTCTACACAGGTAAACAAAAATCTACCAAAGGCATTGTGTTTCCTACTTCTTTGTACTGCAAAATCTCTCTCCATATGCATCGGACATCCGGAGCTGTGTGTTCAAAAGAAACTAGTCCAGCCCTTTAAGCTACCCGTATGTTCTCCTAGCCTTCAGTTTTTTATTTTGATCCCTGTGTTCGTATTTTTCTCTCTTTGTCTTCATTCAATTCAGCTATAAAATCATTTATTTTAAGTTTGTTTCCATGCTCCTCCTGATCACATTTGTAATCCATTTAGAATAACTATTTTATAATTATATTCTAATCCTGTGTAATTCTTTTGCGTCTGTGCCTCTTGTAATTCATATCAAGTTAAAAATAATTATCACCTTTTATTCGCCTTTAAAATTATTTCTCTAGTTATCAAATAATAATTTTGCAAACGTTGTAACTGTTTTCTACTCCTATGTAATCTTGTCTCTAAGCCCCTTATATTCGTACCTTCAAACTTTCACATCAAGCTGAAAATTATTATCACCTTCGTTACTATGTGGAATTAAATAAATAATAATTGTATCCATGTAAACTAATGTATATAAATGCGATTGTACAGATGCTTTTGAGAATGAAATCGCCGAAAAGACGTCTCTTTGCTGAACTTCTTGTTCTTTTCCCAGTAATGTGGGCGTCGGTGGCATAGAGGTTGAGACTCTCGCCAACCATGCATATGGTCCAGGGTTCGATCCTCTGCTGACGCACACCTGATATCAATGGTCGGCCGGCGAAATTCTGGCTACTGATATCACATGCTGAAAATTCCATGCTTGTACCAAAAATACTGTGTGGTTTCAAGCTATAATCAAAATTTTAAAAAATTAATGTGTCGATGGGTAGTTTCCACGATTTGAAAATTAATTAGGGTGTAAAGTTACAAACTGTTGATGAGCACTCTAAGCAAAATTTACAGAGAGACATTTCAGGATAGTTCAGTCTAGAAGTTCAAAGTTCAAATGTCTTTTAGAATATAATCATTTATTTAGGTTGAAAACTTCTGTATACATCTGTTGGGAGTTGTTGTTTTAAAATTCATTATAACTAACCCCATAGGAATGCGTTTTCCTAGCAATTAAAAATTAGTGATGTAGGTGATATTGAACAAAGTACAGAAATCTGCCAGCCTTTCAACTATTACCTTTATTTTCAAAGTAATTGAGCTTTTATCTTAACGAGGTAATGTTGAATGAAGTTTCATATCTCCTCCTTTTGTAACTTTGTCGCTGGAATTTGAAAAGATTATGTTTTACTATGAAGGAAGTCAATTTAGCGAAGAAACTTGAGGAATGGTATTTCAGAAAATTCTTCGATTTGCTTGAAGAAGGAAATAATCTAGGTCTAATAATTCCTAAAAATCTGGCAATACTTATCAAATATGTGGCTATATTCTAGCTTCTAGTCGCTCTTAGTAGTATGCTCATTTTCAAAATCCGTCTAACAATAAGCAAATCCTAATAAGTGTGTCATCCACTACTGGTAAGATTTATCAGTAGTTTATAAAGAGACGTTCATCGGCATAGAATATCAAATAGGGGAGAGATAGAAATGACGTCAAAGAGAGAGAGAGAAAATGATTCCTCTTTGTAGCAAAACATGAATGATACGAAAAGAAGACAAATGAACACAATAGAAAGAGCAGAAGTAGCAAAACACGACATGACGACTTGCAGATAATGTGTACATTGATATAAGTTTAAAACCTGGGCACTGTGATAGAGTATAACTCTATTATGGATAAGATTTTATTTTGATAAATCACACAGTGGTGTTATACAGTAATATTAACTGATGACCACGTTTCGAGCACAAATTATTGCTCATAATCATATCAAGTTACTCACACAATTTCTTTCCTTCATTTATATACATGTGTGGAATTGACTAGATATTTAAATAAAAACCAATATACGATAGTGTGCATTCAGAAATAATAATATGAGTTTTATTGATCAAATACAATCAGATGGGAAATGAAACGAGTGTTTTTATAGTCACAATAAGTAACTTGTTAGAATGTTGTGATGTCCTTGAATTGAAATAGAATATTAAGATTATTTATCATCCTCCTCTGACTCGACTGGTGATGATAATTTCTTCCATATCTCTGGTATATGCATTGAGTCATTTCTGTTGCAAGTGTTGCGTGTAGATTCAATGAACCAGGATTCAGTAATCAACCTCTCTCTCCACCTACCTAGATTACTTTTTAGAATTTTAACCCTCTCCCACCCTATTGTGTGGTTGTGTGTTGATGCATGCAGTGCTTTTTTCTAAATTACTTATCTTCTCGGGGTCAACCATTCTTACCTTGGCTAAATTCTTATGTTCTGACAATCTGACTACCCCCGATCTACTAGTTTGACCTATATAGTTGACCTCACATTCATTGCAAGGTATATTGTAAATTATATTATTTTGTTTAATTGAATCAGCCTACAGGATCCTTTAATCTAACTACAGAGCTTGTCCTACCTGAGTGAGTTTGTAGGTTTGAATGTTACTCTAATTCCTGCATTATTAAGAATCCTATGTAGGACCTCAGATATCCCTTCCTTATATGGTATAACAGTAGATGACTTATATTCTCTCTTATTTATGTTATCATTACTAGTTTCACCATCATTTTTAATTTGCTTTTGTCCTTTTTCGATCTTCCTATTGAATTTTATAGGATAGTTATTTAACATCAACGCTTCTTCTATCTGTTTCATTTCATTATTTAGGTCTGTTCTTGTACTACTTAGTGTTACTGCTCGTTTTGCTAGACACTTAACTAGGCCTGCCTTAACAGATAACGGATGAGATGAGTTAAAGTCTATCTATTATCTATATCAGTTAATATTACTGTATAACACTGTGTGATTTATCAAAATAAAATCTTATCCATAATGGAATGTCTACATGTGTGTGCGTTATATAGAGATACCAAACTTCAAATAAATATTCCTTTAAGAAGTCTCTTGTCTTCTGCCTTTACATTAGTAGTTATAAATGTATTTTCCTTTACCTTTCGTGGTTCACACTAATATTTATAAGGGTTATTTTACCAAAGGCGATAATATTTGTTCCTTCTCTGTATTTTTCAGGGAAAGGTTGCCTGTGGCATGTATCCTAGTGTTAAATAGTATCAGAATGTGTGAGAAATTAATGATCTACAGACTGAAACTTTTTTCGTCACTTGGTGGTTTCCACTAGCCTACACCCAAAACATGATGCACTTAAGAGTCCCCCCAATTAGGTAGTATATGCGATGTGGACGCTATCATTAGGTATAAAAAGAGGATTAAAGCCACTCACTGAGTTAAGATCTGTCACGTAGTTAGACTGCCATCACCTATGATAAACTTTATTGATCTGTTTTTTTAAATCCTTTGTGTTCTGAATGGCTTCAACCTATAGCTATAAAGTTCCAGTAACAGGGTTGTTATTTGCAAGGTGAGCTTGCTGCCTTCACACCAACCTTCCCTCCCTACGAGGATTACTACTGTCTAAATGATGTTAAGAGGTGCGTCGAGTGGGGATCGAGCCCTGGATAACGTGATTAGTTAGTGAATATTCTACAGATAAACCATAGATGCTGCCGAACTAGTTTCAGAGGATTGAATTATTATCCACTCATATAATTTGTCAGGAGGCTACTTGCTTCAAGTTAGCTTTCGGAACAGATCAATATTAAAAGTGGCCTAAATTTAAAATACACTCAGTTGCATCAATACTTTGAATTTGAATTTGATGCATCCATTCATCTTTATCCTCCAATGAAGTAACTTCACATGTGACATGCTGGGACAAAAGCTGCTTGTGGAATAGCTGTGCCTCAGACGATTTACCATTCATAGGGTCTTTTAATCTTTATCGGTTTAAATAGTTTTCAGGTGACAATTACAGAGTGAAAACAGAATGATAAACTCTACACGGTATATACTGTTATACTGTTTTTCTCCACCACTGGAAAAATTTCTTTGCTCATGCTTACACTGTAACCACTGACGGAAATTATTTCACAACAAAGAACATTCTAGACCATTCTGGAGACAGACATTCGTGCCGTGATGTAAGAAGTGAGTCACTGGGGAATGTTCTTCGGAATTTACATATTCAAATTTAAATCTCCTCAAAATTTAAAGACCTACCATTTTGCTGAGTGTCTACAAAGCTGAAAATTGGAACTAAAGCTTCCAACTGATGGATTCCTCCTGAAAGTATTTTATCTAGAAAGTAGTGTACAACACTCCACAATTAATAATTGTAGGAACTCTGTTTCCTAATTTTTTTTTAAAATTAATGAATATGCAAGTCATATGAATTAAACATGGTAAAAAGTTATCAGATATTTTTTTCATATAGGTGCAGTACACTACTGTAAAAGTAATTAATAATACTTACTGATGGCCTAGTTCATGTGCTATGATATGTCCTGTTCCAAATCCACGATCAAGCACTGCTAGACAAGAACTTTCTGGATTACACATTGATCGATAATGTGCTACTCCTGTTTGAATTTAGAGAAAAGCAATAATTTATTAAAGTTTGTAAAGACTTACGAGGGAAAAACGAAAAGCTCAGTTATTTACTTTGTTCCAAGGTGTATAAATAAATCGAGATACTCTGGACGTTAATTGATGGATGGTGACTAGTAGAGGAATCCAGGATGCGCATTTCGTCCTATTCGGGACTCGTCATAAAAATTCAGCCGTAAACTTTCATCACGATATTTTGTCTAATAAGCATGAATGTCTATTGATAAATGTTGGCCTGAAGCACCAGTAATAACCACTGGTACTTGCTGGTCATTTCGAAATGATCTATAGCGTAGCCGGGCATCTGAGTTCATTCTGGCAGGGCATTATGGATTTATGAGACCGGTTAGAAACCTTGCATACATTCCTTGTGAAATGGAGCAGCCAATATAAAAGAAGGTATCGATGCTTTATTCGCCGTTGATCATTACTGCTGTTTTCAGTCAAAATATTTTAAGTATTGGTTTTGTAGGGACTTTGTTTGATTGGTTGGGGGATTTCATCATGAGCTGACATCAGTTGGACAAGCATTGAAAACCAGCTGGGAGTACTGGACTGCCGTTTTGTCCTAGTTTTGGGACTCTTCATCAGTACGCAGCCACCGGGGTTCGAAGTAGGTTGCACCTAAATAAATATTCTAATTGCATTTCATGCTGCTATTATTTAATGTATTCATAACTATGATTCAATTCTGTCACAGTATATAATTTCTTGGAAACGGTATATATATAACTGTACTGCTTGATAATAAATTTGTTGAAAAGAGTCTCTTCTCTGAATATTGTGTTCTTAATAATCATATCAATTATAATCACTCAACTTCGAAAATTTTCTTTTATAGTTTTCTTTATTCTTTCTGGAAAATTCTACCACCTCAAGGACAAATAAGAAAGAATAAGGGAAACTAGAGATCTAAAGTTTCCAAGTTGTGTGATTATAACTGATATGATTATGAACGATAAATTGTGTTCGAAACGTCATCCAGTTAATAATACTGTTTTATCATTGTGTGATATATCTTATAATTAAATTAATATGGGGAGCACGAAACGCCGTAATTAATACAAATATTTCTTTGATGAATATCATGTATAACTGAAAGTAAATTATGTTCTTTCCTATGAAAATCATCCCAACCTGACTTACCCAGTGCAGTTGATTTGAAATGCCTGAAATATAAAAAAGGTTCAAAGTTACAATTGTTGAAAAGCTATCGAAAGGTTTGTTTTTATATGTAAAAATTCGTGTTCTATTCTGCTATATTTCTATGCTTTATGCTACCTACTAAAGTGTTATTAACTAATGACAAGAAAGCAGCAACATGAGACAGGATTTTCATTCAAACAAAGACTCTGTGAACATTCAGGTAGTTTAGCGTACTAGTTGGAACACTGGTTGCCTGTCTAAAACTTCAGCTACCAAGAACCTCCATCAATATATTGAAAGAAGCAACCTCCTTTACCTAACGACGTACCTGGGAAGCATCGTTTCAGCTGCAGGCGTACGGAACTGGCGGAGATATCAGAGCAGTGAGGATCGGGAAAGCAAGGCAAGCTTTCATTTCTCTCAAGTCTGTGTCTAGGAGATCAACAGTACTCAGCATGTAAAATAAGATACGGATTTTCAACCTAAATGTAAAGTCACTACTACTATACGGATCAGAAACTTTGAGTCACCTCACGAAGGGCACGTCGAACAAACCTTCATCAACAGCTGTCTTCACTTCATACTACTCAAGATCAGATGGCCGGCCAGACAAAATCAGCAACAGGGATGGATCTCTGGAAGCGAAAAAAACCCAGCAGGAACTTATTGTGCAACAAGTATGCAGGAAGAAATGAAAGTGGATTGGATTGGTCATACTTTGAAAAAACAAACCATTAAATGAGTGACGTCACACTCCAAGCCATGGGTCTAGTGGAATCTGAATGTGAAGTGGCCAGATATTCGTCAGTGCGGGGGTGACATGGAGGATGTCATGTGAAGAGGAGATGAAAGCACGTAGGCAGATGTGGAACCAGGCGAAAGTGTTGGCAGAGAACCGAACGCAATAAGGACATGCGGCTGAAGCCCTATGTTGCTCTAGGAACTACAGGAAACAATAATAATAATTTCCTCCTATTCAGTTTGTTGAAATTTTGTAAAATAGAACCCCTAACAGTGTTCTTTACGTTGGCGAATATTTAAAAGACTTAGGACCTGCGGTTGCGCGTGTTTACTAAACATGAGAAAAAGCATTATCCTCGATATCACCTTATCCCAGTACATGCGTTAACTGTTCATGGTTTGTGTCCTTGGTTCACAAAATGTACTCTTGAACTTTTGATCGACTTGTTTGCACTTCAGTTCAGATAAAACTGTGTCACACGATCTACTGTCAATTAATATCTTATTTGAAGATCTTGGAAGAAGAGAAAATATCATTCAATATACTTCTCTGAAAATTCTGTTCATTATGCAAACACTGTTCAAAAGAAAGCTATTAATTTTTAATTTTGTTTTAAAACATTCAGAAGGCATCAGTCATCTGAATTTCTCAAGACCTTGTTGAAATATGATAGTTTATATAGCAAATGTGGACGAGGTAGAACGACTGCTACACACAAGAATATCAGTTATAACATTAGTGATGTTTAGCCACAGCATGATGAGGTAAAGAAGCCATCCATTTCGAGTGATTTGGATAATTAAACATTACCGAGGTGGTGGAAAATTATATAAGCTGTGAATACGGAACACGATCCTGAGAATGACGTACTTGCTGAAGTTACTTATTCTACTAAAACAAGGTTGATGAATATGTAAACGCAAGTTACGGTTATTTGTTTTCATTTCTTCTAATGTTTCAGGAAAAGGATATCAGAGCCACTTCAAAGATTAAAGGACAGAGCCAACCAAAATGAAATTATATCAATATAGTATCCAGTAACTTTCCATTATGGGTAAAATGTATTTTGATAAAGTCTCACATTGTTATACAGTAATATTTACTCATGATCACATTTCGAACACAATTTCTCACTGCTCATATTCACATCAAGTGACTCATACAAATTTGTGACTTCGTTTAAATAACTCCACTATTTCTCATCTCTTGGCTTGATTGGTAGTAATATTTCCCATATCTCTGGTATTATTGAAGAGGCATTCCTATTGCATGTGTTGGGTGTAGACTCGATGAACAAGGATTCAGTGATCAACCTCTCTCGCTCTCCATCTACCCAGATTACTTTTCAGAATTCTGGTAAAACTGTAGACGCCTTATATTCTTTCTTATTTGTGTTATCATTATTAGTTTCACCATCATTTTTATTTTACATTTACAGTTATATCATATAAGGAGGAGACATCTGAGACCCTACGTAGGATTCTCAACAGAGCAAGAATTAGAGTGGCACTCAAACCTACAAATTCACTCAGGCAGGACAAGCTCTGTAGGCTAAAGGACCCAATTAAACAAAATATAATTTACAAAATACCCTGCAATGACTGTGAATTAGGTCAACTACATGGGTCAAACTAGTAGGTCGGAAGTAGTCAGATTGCCAGAATGTAAGAATTCAGATAAAGGTAGAGTGATTGATCCCACGAAGATAAGTAATTTAGAAAAAAGCTCAGCAACAGCTTTGCATGCATTAACATACAACCACACAATAGGGTGGGAAAGGGTTAAAATTCTAAAAAGTAATCTGGGTAGATGGAGAGCGAGAATCCTTGTTCATCGAGTCTACACCCAACACATGCAATAGGAATGCCTCTTCAATAATACCAGAGATATGGGAAATATTACTACCAATCAAGCCAAGAGATGAGAAATAGTGGAGTTATTTAAACGAAGTCACAAATTTGTATGAGTCACTTGATGTGAATATGAGCAGTGATAAATTGTGCTCGAAATGTGGTCATCAGTAAATATTACTGTATAACACTGTGAGACTTCATCAAAATAAATTTTACCCACAATGGAATTATACGCTGTCACAGTGCACAAGTTTTGTTTTTATATCCAGTAACTTTCTCTAGAGGTTCAATATATTATTAAGGTGTGACATAAACATGAGGCGTGTTAAATTTACTACCTCTGATACATTTACATGGTTAAATCTAATATGGTTAAGAGGAAGAGAAATACTGAACACTAATCAACTATGATGAACAGTTACTATTAACGGAATAGCAAACATGACGGACGAATAGTTGATCTATTTATAAAAAAATATTCCAGTCTAACATTACCAAGTCCCTGTAAGCAATGACGTTGATGTTAATTCCCATTCCAGTCGGAGGAATATTTCAATAACCTTTTTCGATCAATATTTAGCCATATTTTACTTCATGCATGACAGAAGTCAGACATCATAATCTTAGATATTATTCTGTAAAAGCTTATTCATTTATTACTTTTTTAAGGTTGCAGGAAATCATCAAGAAGCACATAAAACACTTCATAAAATCCCATTAAAATATCCCATTTTATCATTTTTACTCGAGTTGAGAGATTTATACTTAAATCTTCAGGTACCACAAACACATTTTCTAGCAAAGTTTTGAGTAATGATCTGCGGTAACGCAGGAGTAGAGAACAGTTCATTCACATGTGGATTTTTTTAGTTAATGCAGAACACAACAATATCTTTTTGTATGCTAAACTACCCTTGAATTCAGCTTGTGCATAAAAATATCGCAAAGTCAATGTACAGTTGTTATCTCCATTGGTAGTGACGAGAAGTAGAATCAAGGACGTGTATTTCGTGCTATTAAGGTTATACGTGCATCTCAATTGAGTGAAAGTATTCCAGTTGAGACGTGAACCCAGTAACCGTCGTTTCAAACGTCACAGTGTTATCTTATATGTTTGGGGGCATATGAGACATTGAGTGTTAGTTATTACTGTTTAAGCCAGTATTGGTTCAACGCAACTATTCATTTGTGAATACAAACCAACTTAGACATCTGTAAAAAATTATATTTGTAAAGTCTCAGCGAGATTGAAATGAGTAATTCCAACGTTTCGTTCGGCAATCTGGTCCGAACTTCTTCAGGGAAATTAATCGAAATTAACATAACATTTCAAACAACCGCGCGCTGTTTGAAAAAGGGAGTGCTTTTTTCACGTATTTGACAAATTGCTGTTTTTGTTGTGTTATTCGCTTCGAGAACATTTAAAAAAAACCCTAACTTGACTTTTGTCTGTTAAGTTTTTATTTTAAACATTTATATAGTCTATATTAGGTAAATTGTCTTGGCTGTTCCATTAGTTCATTATGTCAAAAGTACCACATAAATGTAATAGGGTGGAGTGTTACTTTTTGGTAGATGATGGAATACAGTGTAATAACTGTAAAAAGTGGTATCATATGATGTGTACTGGATTACGTCCAGCTGCATACAAACGTTGTATTGCTCCAACATCCAACTGGATGTGCTGAATGTGCTGCTCCCCAAAGATGACTTTGATAAGGGAGACTCACGAACTACTGTCTAAGGCTATGGAACTTCCTGATGATAGCGTGGCGAGTAATAGTGACACAGACTGCCCGTCTGAAGATGACGCAGCAAGTGTCATCATGAATGTTACCATACCGGCGGTTACTATCCCAGTTACCCCGGAAGTAAAACCTACTAGGCGTTCGAAGCGTCTTAGTAAGCGAAAGGGTAACAGAACGGAAGCTGCAAACAGCATCTCAGCACCAGAGAACACTGTAAGCGAAGTTCACCATGAAGGTGGTGCAGACACTGATCTCGATTGTACCATCAAAAACTGCAGCAGCCCTGAGAAGCAACTGCAGGCAGATGATCAGTGGGTAACGAAAATAAGCAATCGGAAGAAACATAGTAATACTGATGGTAAGCAAACGTCTGTTACCTGTAGTCAGGCTGCATCAATAGTGGTGAGAAAAGACGTAGCCACTGCTAAACACGACAAGCTCTCCTTAGACTCTAACATAATTGTTGGAAATTTAGAAGAGTCCAAAGAATCTGATCCCTTAAAAAGGCACGATCACGACCTTAAATTAGTGAGTAGTATTATAAGGAAGATGCTCCCAGCGAATTTCCCTGGAGTATCGATTAAAAAGCTGATTAGAATAGGCAAAAGAGATGATGAATGTTCTAATCAGCGTAGATTGCTTAAAGTAGTCTTAGGTTCTCCTGATGAACGGAATCATCT